GTTTGTACCCAATCTAAAAAAATGAATTTGCAATAAAGTAAATATTGAATAATTGAATTTTGAGTGGATCATGATTCTCGAATTCTATATAGAATTTCCGCCCGAATTGATTCAATGAGCGTCCTTTCACCACACACATTTATCTCTATACACATAGCATCCCCATCATACTACACTTGATGGCAGAGTTGATTATCTAAAGAAGTATGTAGAAACTGTTTTGATATTATATCCATTTGCAATGCAAATCCCGTATCACTGTGTTCATGTGGGGATGGTGAATGTTACATTTGTGTATGTGCGTATGCTCTGCGGTATACGTACCGTATCGTTGTCCCGTCGACAGTGCAATTTAAAGCGTATCTATTTTCTCCTATATATCTCGCTCTTGGCTATCTTGAACGTGCATGGATGTTGCAATTTCCTATCATTCGATATAAATACGCTTTCCTTGCTCTATCAGACACCTTTTGATGTACTGAAGCTGGTAGAGAACGGAAAGGAGTTGGCAATAACGTGTACGTGTATGTAAATCGTAACACAAAGCAGCATAGAATTCAAACATGGGAATTGAGCGATGTAAGGCTCGGCACACTTATATTTTACAAACTAGTTTCGCACAGATCATCGTCTCGTCTCAAATTAGTCAAATGACTCTTTTATATTTTGGCACACATATTAATAAAATACTAAAATAAACATAATATGTGTTAAAAACATAAATAACAAATAGTGTCCCTTTTCAATATTTGGTTACTTGTAGAGAGATTAAATTTTCATTCAAAAGCTTATAATAAATGCTAAATTTGTAAACATTTTAAACTGGACACTGACAATAGACAAAATTATGGAACAACAACTTTTGGCAATTTTTTTAAACAAAATGTTTCACATTTTTGCGCAAAACATTATTTCTTTCATTTTAAATTTTAAATCAAAAGCTTATTATAAATGCTAAATTTATGAAATTTTCAAACTGGACATAGATAAAAATCAATGAACATAAGCTTTAGGTAAATTATTAAAATTGTTAGGGTTTTTTTTATCTAATTTCCGTCCTACTAAGCATAAGCTGCGCTGGAATTGATCTCGGCCTTCTTAGTCGGTAGTTTTACCATCTCCAATAATCGAGAATTGTCCTGGCCACGTCCTTGCAACAGTTGAGAATGGGAAGGATTGCTAGTTGAACACTTACTTAAGAAAGATGCAGAGAATTCTACGATCTCTAAAATCTCTCCGGTATATCAAAAGGTGATACGGCAACACTGGCTGTCCTGAAACTGTTTTGTTTACCTTGATTTTATTGCTTTTGAAGGTGCTTAAACTGTTTTAATTTGGAAACCATCACTAATAGTTGTTTAAAACAATTTCTTATTTTGTTTTTCCAGAAAAAAAAAATGGAATTTATGAAGCTACAAATCTTCTATAGAAAACATACGTGTGGTTCTAGTTGCACTAGTCGAAGTCATCAGCTGATATGAAAAGGAGGCAAAAGGATGATGTAAAAAGAAACAAAAACATATAGGGAAAATGGATGTAATGTCGGCCTAAATGCCCCTAATTTGGACCCATACATACATTCAGCAATCGACTAAATTTTCAATAGCGACCAAAAATAACCATTAATACCGTCCCAATGACGATATGATAAAATTGATAAATAGCAGATTTTAAGCGATGGGCTTACTCTTACATCCATAGGCCAACATAAGAGCCATTTCCCCTACTATGCATTATTTCTATTATGTTTTAGGTGGTGCACCTTAAAAGCCGCTTAAATAGCAGATTTTTAACGATGGGCCCAATCTTAGGCCAATTATACGATAAGAAAAGAATCCAGCGGCCAGTTCACATTTACCTACTTTTGACTTTGAGTGTAATTACGTTGTGTATAATCCTTTTCACCTACTTTTGGGTACAACTAGCTTACTTTTGGGTAGAAAGCAGATTGTAAATTCCATACGAATTGAACACAAGTAGGGTTAACTATCCCATTTCCGGCACAACCCGCACAACCCGCATTAAGCACAACCCGCAATTAATCTTTCTTAATCTAGCGCAGTTTAGCACCAAACGGAATGTTATTATTACTGATGGCTTCCAAATTTATTTACCTTTCCGTATCTACCGTAAGATTTGATAAAGAGAAACCAATCGTTGATATATTGCCAAAAGTCTAACATTGCTTCTTGACGCCAAACTCGGCCTACGGATTCTAAACTCGGCCTAACGCATTGAAACGCCAATGAATTCACTTCGGCCTGTCGGATGAAGATAAAAATTGATTCGTTCGGAGCGCTGATTTTGTTTTTGGGAATAATGGGTGCAAACCTTCGTATCACGCGTTCTCATTGACTGCGTTCGGTAGCTTATTAACTAAAGTATCGTACCAAACGCATAATAGACTTGCTAACTCTGAAATCATGGATTTATTTGATGTTTTTTGTTCGATAGGCTAAAAATGGGCGATTAGGCCGAAGTAGTTCTCTACCCTAAGTGTAAACTACTTTGGCCCTCTTGTAGTGGTTATTTCTACACAATAGTAATGGACAATTTTTAATCAATTCTCAGAAAATCGATTCTATTGGTTCAATTGATGCATTTGATTGATAATAGCGCTATGTTTGATACCCACTTTTGATGATTGAATGCAATGACATCATTTTAGAGAATTTGAAAAACTGTAACTAAAAAATTGGACCCAGAACATGCCGTAGTAATTTTTTTCTTATAGTTTTGACCCTTGGGAATCTGGGTGAGGTTTCACTGAAATTTAAAAAACTAAAAATATTTATTGGATAATAGCTATGAAAAATTAACTTTTTTTCAAAAATCTCGTCGGGTCGACCTCTAAACAACAATTCTCAGAGTTGCCACCATACAAAAGTTTGTTTGTTACACCCTTAGCTATTATTTGGAGGGTGAGCCCCCAGATCGGTTCTGATCACCTTCCAGTAACTTTTGAAATATCCAATCTTGCTTGGCATACACAGTTTTGGTCACGAACTGCTCATTTGCTAATAACTTTGCACACAGTTAACGGAACACAGTTCATTTTGAAGTAGTAGATAGAATAGAGTGTAAGCTTGTTATAGATATGTAAACAAAAGTAGATTTTAATGCAAGTAGTAAACTGTATTTGTTTTTGCGTTGTAAAAATGAGGTGAGAAATGCTCACAACACATCTCGGAATTTAAGTGCTAAATTGATTAGTGTTGATTCAAATTTTTAAGCTTTACCCAATCTTCGCATATCCATAGTAAACTATGAGCCTAATCTTAAAGAAAAATAAATTTCAACATCTGAGTGAAAATTGTTTACCAAATGAGCAGTTGGTGTGTACAACTGTGCATGCCAAGCATGCTTTCAATTACCATAGAGCTGATTGGGAGAAATATCGAACATTTATGGAATATAGCTTTGAACAAAGATTTGTGGCAACCCTGAGGGTCGACCATATTAAATATTTTTTATTATGTATGGTATAGTGTTACTTCGTCGTAATCGTCCATTTCCGTTCTATCGAGCGGAAAACATGAGTATAATCAATGATTTCACCGTGCACAAATCAGTAATACGGTTGTACCGATGCATTAGTTCACAAGCTACAACACAAAGTCTATTAGAGCGTATTGTGTGCATATTTACACTCATTGTTCTCAAATCAAAAGAAACGCTCCTGGCGAACTCGCTTTTTCTACCTTCATCCGTAGGACGAAGAAAATCCAATGGCGTTTCAATGCATTTGGACGGAATTGAAACTTGTAGGACGCATTTGGAATCAAGAAGCAGTGTTAGATTTTTAACAATATCTTAAACAATTAGATAAAGATTGAATGGTTTTTATGGAAAGGGGAATACATTTAGAAGTCATCTTTGGTAGAAATGTTTCATTAATTGTTAAAACCCGTTCAATAAAGAGAAGTAAAGCGTGGGATGTGCTTAGTAGGACGGAAATTAGATCAAAAACTCTACGGCGATGTTGACAAACGGTGATTGCTTTCTACTACATTGGCTTCGTTGTAGTGGGTTAAAGTCTTTTTATTTTCGTACACTCATGGTCCACCATCACCTCTCTCACACAGCATGAGCGGTAGAACAACATTCGCGTAATTGAAAAACTATCAAATAACTATCATGTCATCAGCGTCATTTCGTTCTTATTCATCTTTTTTGTATATATTTCAACTATTTCTGATCAGCAATGTTTCCTCTCGCTTATCTTTTTTGATTAATTTAGGGGTAAGGTTGACTGCAACAGACTACTCTTTCTAGCATTGAGCACTGCTATGCAAGTGTGAAAGAGTAAACTGGTTTGTTCTGTCATACTTTCGTTAGTTTTACTGCTGTCAGTTTGCCCAAAAGTGTCAGATTGCCCAAAAATATCAAAACCATATGAGCTAAGGTGCATCTATATGTGGTTGACTGGAATTAAGTTCCCCTGTATCTGCTACGACGAAATGTTTTATTGTTGCCCCCGTGTCTATTATGTATAATATTATAAAATATACAATATAGGAGAAATGGCTCTAATATTGGCCTATGGAACTAAAGATTGGGCCCACCAATAAAACTCACCTGTTCTTAAATTTTTCGTAGAACATTGCATCAATACAAATGGATGTTTATAGTTGCTAGTTGTCTAAAAAAATGTGTTCTTTTAAAATTGTGTATGGGCTCAATATTAGGGACACCTAAGCCAACATTAGATACATTAACCCTACTACTTTAAGCTATGTTAATTTTTAAATAGAGCGCATGCAATCGACCATGCATAGCAACAAACACTATCTGACATAGGCGTAGACAGAGGGGGGTAGGGGGGGGGGAACCTTTCTACGCCATTGCTGTCAGATAGGTATTATTTTTCAGTGTCAGAAGTTTTGGTGCTCAACAGAATCTGCATTCAACTTTTCACGAATCCACCAATAGTGCAACACATATACATTCCGGTGCAATCCATCGAACACGTATATTTATATAATTATATATGTAATTACCCATCTTCCTCCATCCATTACATCGGTTTTCCATATGAATAATAATGACTGCGACGGTGTAATTCGTTGAGATGATGGGACTGTATATAGTGAATCAGAATCGGATATGCGAAACCATCTGAAATGTGCAGATTAGATCAGGTAGTTGATATGATAGTTGGATGACAAGGAAAAATAAACAACGTGCATAATGAAGAAATAATCAATACGTGGTCTATCATTGTTGAAAAGTGCTTAATGACGAAATGAACGAATGGGTGATTTTGTCGTCACGTTGTATTTTTTTTCTTTCGTTTTTAGTAACTTATTAAATTAAAACATTTCCTAAACAAATAGATAAAAAGCACCAACGTGATATCACACGACAGGTATTGACCGAAACGTTATAATAATAACTCAACGAATGGATACACAAATATGCATTTAAATTAATATCCTTGCGCTTGAATCAGGGCTTGAATGCTTAATGATTAGCCGAACCACAAAGCAAGTGTGGCGTTTGTGGCCATACTGTCTTATCATCAACTTTTAAGAGACTAAATTATCTTCATCAAATACTTCTTTTTTATGTCGATGACACGCATTTTGAAAATTTTGAGGAGACTTCATCCCTCTTTGATGTCATGCATTGTGGTTGCTTCAAGCCTCTGAAATTTAATAGTAATTGATTGTAATTATTCACAGCATTGAAAAGTGAAATTTTCAAATCTTTTGGTTGACTATCCATGCTGGATAAAAAAAAAACGTCCAGAGGAGTGAAAACATACGAACTGCTCTCAAAAATGTATAAGTTCCACAATCTGACGCAAATGTTACCATAACATTATCTTCGGTCTATATGAACTTTGTGGAAACTAACCTGAAAAAACTGCTCTGGATTTCGAGTAAAACACCCCCGATCAAGTGTCTCAGGAAATCAGGTGCGTCCAGTCTCTCATATTGTCTAAATCTCATGATAAGTGTTAAAGATTAGTTGTTAATTTATTTTATTATTTATTGATTCATCACTAACGCTTGAATCCATGTCATTCCATTAAGTTGATTTTTTTTTAAATGATGGACTAATGTGTATTGGAATTATTTTAAACATTTTTAGCTATGTAGTGTGTGCAGTGATGCAAAATATCATGACACTCGTCTTCGCATCAACCGACTATCGCTTACAGATCGTTTTGTCACGCAGTGAGAGTTAGAGCCATGGCAAACAACAATCACCAGTAATGGTCGCTGCTCACAAGCAAATCGTTACACTCGCTGCTGATAATGAAAAGCACAACGAAAACAGTGAAGACTTCTGCAGTACGATCATGAGAAAAAGCGAAACGACAGAAGAAAATGAAAACAATGCCTTCGCATTCCAAGTTCGTCTCGGCAGGCGCGAGTGTGTGAGTTACAAACAAAGCAGACAACAGGCAACATTAAACGGAAGCTGTTGGGCTCACTCACCAACACACTCACATAAGCAAGCAAAGCAGCAACTGCATCAAAACGATCACAGATGAGTGTCGTGATTGTCAGGAATGACCAGATCGGTGATGGATCACAACAGAAGACTAGATTCACCAGTTGCTTTTTACTTCTTTCGTCAACTTGATGGATGGTCATGGAGAGAGCTTCGACGACCACATTGATAGGAATGTACAAAGCGTTACTACCATCAGCTGTTTGATGATGGTGATTGTGATAGGTCGCAACTCTTAGTGTGTGTGTCTAGCTTTTTTTAGGACAGCCTTATACTAGACTAGCATCACAGAACAGAAGTGGAACTTCGGATCCAAAAATGGTCTATATTATTTTTGTGATCACTAGCGCACCTAGCGGTAGAAGGCAAGCTTTGCCTGCAGTTTATATGGGCAGCATGGTTTGATGGCGTGAGTGTCCATAAAAGAACCCGTGTGAAGCGCATCCACAAGAACTGCTTGGTAAACAAAACTGTTCTTCCACTATTTGATATACTGATTCGTTCACACTTCCACTTCTGTTCTGTGCTAGCATCCAATTTATCGTTGATTATAGTGCTTTGCTTTGATTTTTACACTTTCGTGAAAATATTGGACCATTAAAAACATTAAACATTATTTGTTCATATTTGTTTTTATTATTTGTTCACACGTCAATCACAAACAGATGTCAATCATTCGATACATCACCCCATAATACGTAGCCGCTACTCAAAGTTGTAGCAATGAAACCAATATGCTGAAAACGGTGTGAACATTTTGTGAAGATACAAAACATTTCTGATGTGAACTTGGGGGCAAAACTTGTTATTTAATCACAAGCTGCACTTTATTCGTCAATAACTAAGCTATGAAATATATATATATATTTTCATTGTTATTATTATCCTTTAACTGATGTCCACTTAAAAATGAGAATGATTCCAATACTTTTCTAATAGAACAAAAACGTTCGCAAAGAAATGTCACCTTAGGTGAATGAATCCTTACACCTTCCATAAAATTGTCACACACTTTATTTCAGTCTAACATGTTCAGTTGTGTTTAGCATGCCGTAGAAACCGGAAGAACTGCGCACGCACATTGTGCAATTCTTTCAAGCGAACGAAGATCGTGAAAAAAAAGTACACGGTGGACCATTTTAAGAGGGAAAATGTTCCGGTATTCACCGTATACTGTATCCTGGCATCCATGCTCTATTGAGCTCCATGGTGTACACAAGGATAATTGGAAGACCAAGAACATCAAGCAACTCACCAACAGGATCAAAAGCTGCATCCCGAAAATCGATGCGGCAACCGTCCAACGGTCATGTTTCAATATCACGACTAAGCTCATGGATCATGGACCGTATGTCACTAAGCTCATGAACGAAATCAGTTTCAACTAAACTTCACTAGTGTTTTTTACCGACCCATTCTTTTCAGTATCATTTTTTAGTGGACACCCGTTACAAATAAATTTGACTCATCAAAAACGCTAATAAAAGTGCGAAGCACAGACCTGGTCATGGTATGTTCGGTGCACTATGCGTACACTTAGATTTTTTGCCGAGATGGGCAGGGTTGCTTGCACTCACTTGTTGGCGCTCGCTGATTCTGACATACTGAAAGCCATATTGACAGGTTTATGTGTCAAACTTGAAGTATGTGTATGACCTTTTCTTGTAACATAACAGTACTAATTATCATTATAACATCTAATGTTTTCATAATTCCGAAAAAGATTTTTTTTATAGCGGGTGAGTGAAAGTAACCCTGGAGATGGGCACCACCGAGTAGCTCGGCATTTTATTTTGCTAGATCTCAGTGAAACACTTACCAAGATTCAGCAAAATGTATGTTTGTTAGCTGAGATCTCGGCAAGTTTTTCACTGAGATCCAGCAAAATAAAATGCCGAGCTGCTCGGTAGTGTCCATCTCGGCAAAGTAATCTAAGTGTGCATGGACGAATGTCATCAGACTGACACAGCTTTTGGCACACGTCCAAACTTTTACTAGCGGGCTTTTCTACTATCCTAAACTATCGCGCTGCATCATGAAAGAAGAATCAGTATTTATACTTACGTGAATACTGGTTGAGGGTTGCCTTGTACATTACATGGTAGCTGAATGTTGTGGCCCACATCAGCTGTTATTTCAGTCACAGGCCGCTGTGTACTAACGGGAGCAGAATCAGCAATGTAGTCTTATCGGGTTCAAAAAAGGGATGATAGGAAGATATAAAATTAAATTCAATGTCAATAAACTACATACACTCAATTCTGTTTTATTCGTCAATTTTGTATGTAGTATCGATAGTGTTCTTGACTTTCTGCTTATGTATTCAACTTAATTAACACTGAAAATACATGGGACGGCAACAGCTCACTATGGCAAATCTCCACACATGGATTCTTAGTTGGAGATGCTTAACGACAATGTCAGACTTAAAGTGAACATTTTATATAATAGATGAGGCGATCAAAGTATAGAATTTATAGTTCCGTTATAGTACGGCTGTGTGAAAATTGAATGTAGAAAGTAGAAAACGAGCATTGGACAATTTTGAGGAAGGTACGAATCGGATCGAGCATTTCCTTTACCAAACTCACCCGTTGGTGGTGAGGGATGCCACCACTGGCAAAAGGAATGATCGCCGATTTGCTCATGTACCTCCGATGTGCGGAAACAGTTCTATCATGGACCCAAAGGTCAGGACCAATAGCGTAGAAGGAATAGAATGGAAGTGCACGCAGTAGTAGGTTTTTTATATTTGTGGGTAGTTATATTTTTGAGTGCATGGGGGAATGCTGTCAACAATGCTGTCGGTTTGCTTACCAACAATAGCTGAAGTTTTGTTTTAACCTAACAAGAAGAACAACGATATTCCGGAGGCTTCACCGCCGAAACGAGCCAAAGCAACTAACGGACGGCGGCAAGTGACAACGAATGACGCGGAAGAAATAAGTGTATCGGCTATTGGATGCCTTCCGGAACGGGAACGTGAAACTGAAGATCTGGCAAAGTATATTGAAGACATTTTATCGGAAAATGGTTCCGGCAGTTTGTACATAAGGTAAGTAGTTGTGTTTTGCGGGAAAAACAGCTACTCTCACCAGGATTATAAGTGACCAAAAGCTGGCTAGCAAACTTAACATGGTTTACGTAAACTGCACATCAATCAGCACTGCTGGGGGTATCTATAAGAAAATATGCGAAGGACTGAAGCTTTAGGTTGGTGGAACAACGGAGAAATTCTATCTAGTAGCTATCGAAGAATACCTGAAAAAGAAGCACAAAACTAGAAGCACCGGGAGGACTGTCTGGTGGCGATCAAGCTGCTCAGTCGCGACAAGACCTACCTGAACGAGACGGTCCGGGAGCAGCAGCTGGCTTGTTTGCTCGGTTTGGCAGGGATCGGTGGCGAAAGCTGCCAGTGCCGAGCGAGCGAAGAGGTCCAGGTGGAAGCGTTGAAGTGCTTGAGCAATTTGATTTTCCAGAGCAGCAAGTGCCAGGAGCTGTGTCTGAACAATTCTTCCACCGAGGGCATTATGCGGAGGATCAAAACTTACAAGTAGGAAGGGGGATGCTGAGGGTGTTTGGGTGGACAAAGTCAAAAATGAAGTTGATATTTTTCAGGGACGGAAATGTTTGCTATGATATTAGATACTTTGATATGAAGTTGCTGTTCCTACTAACGGCAATCAACTGTGATATTCGAGCGAAGGTTCGAGAGGAACTGCATGGATTGGTGTACCTGGTGGAAACGTTGGATCTGTTCATGGGACAGGCAGCCGAAGCGAAGGAGTTTAGTGTAAGTCTTTGTATTAATTGTTTTTGCGGGTAAAGCTGATCTGAATGATTTGTTTTAGGACAAAGATCTCGAGTTGATTAATGAAGTGCTGAAGGTTCTGTTCAATTTAACCGTTCGCACACCCTTGAATGCCGTTCCGGAGGAAGAAGAAGCCAATCAATTCCATCGTTTAGCAGTAGTCGTTCACGATCTGTTCTTCTATCGCACCCTGAATCGAGATAAGATCATTTCTCTCCAATCGAACATTGTCAATCTCCTAACCAGTGTTCCGGTCAGCTGTTATAGCGAGCTTGTCTCACCGTTGAACCCGGAAGATCTGGATTCCAAAACCGTTGTGCCATTCGAAGGAAAGAACGTTTACGTCCTGCACGTACTGGTGGAGTTTCTGAGACGGGTTTTCCAAAAATCAGAAAAGAAGTCCGATCAGTACGAACTGTTGTCGCCTATTCTGACGGTCCTGATCAAGACGATTCGAGCGACGGCCCTTAACCGGCGTTACGTTCGATCGAAAGTGCTTCCTCCTCTGAAGAACGTCAAAGAACGACCGGAAGTCGGCACGGAGCTACGCAACTACTTTTGCTCGCTGCTAACGAGCCCGATCACTCAAATTGCCGACTTGTCCGCGGAATTGCTCTTCGTCCTGTGCAAGGAAAACGTCGGTCGGATGATCAAATACACGGGCTATGGCAATGCGGCCGGTCTGTTTGCGAATCGTGGTTTGCTGGGTAGAGCAGTCAGTATATAGTTCAGTTTTATTTATTGTCTATTGTTCTGAGCGAGGAAAATAGATGCTTTTAGGTGTTGAAATTCTCCTGAGTGTCATCATTGCGAAAGAAATCGCCCTTGTTCGGATTTTTTTGTTTGAATTTTTTTTATACAGGATTTTTAGATTTCACATTAATTATTTTTAAACCGATCTCAATCAGAAAACTGTAACGGTGGCAGCATGTTGTTGCAATTGCCCCCTCCCTACTGAATCTACTGGATAAACTGTGGTGGAGTTGGTTTCTCGAATTCGCCCGAAGCGTCTCTAAGAAAATATGACTATCAATTTTATTGTTCTATCCACTACAACATCTACTCGTAATACACTGCAAGTACGGTTGCGATTACAAAATAGGTCGGTGCTTCGTATACAAAGTTCACGTATCCATCCTTTTCGGCATCCCACACGAAACGCATGGACGATTTGAAGTCCTGGGAATTCTTATCTCCCACGGTCACCATGGCAACCACTCGATACCGCTCAAAGCTACACCGTTTGACCATCACCCCTATTCTGTGTTTCGTTTCGAACGAAATTCTCATACAAAAAAAATATTTTTGGTATGAGAATTTCGTTCGAAACGAAATACAAAATAGGGGTGCATATCTCGGAGTTCGATGCTGAGATTTTCCGCCAATCGCTTGGCACGTCGTGGGTTGTACTTATGATCCTCCAAGAATGAATTGAGATAACGATCGATTATAAACTGCACTCGCTCACGATTGAACGGATGGCGCGGATATGACACACCTCAATCTGACTACCACGGCAGCGGGGACCGCGCTTTTTTTTTTGCTGACGCTTTTGCTGGCAGTTGTGCTGTCTGTGTCACTTTTGACACCTGTTCTGGTACAAATTGCTGTCTTTTGCTCTAGTACCGGGTGCACCAGGTACACTAAAAAAAAACAGCTAGGTGAACCAAAAAAAAAATCGCGTGAAGGAGGTCCTTACCCTTTGGGTCCATGGTTCTATCCTGTCTGTTACATACTCAAGTCGCCATCTGACGTCAGAGAGTTCATGTAGAGTTTCAATCAATGTTCCTTAGGACCTAATACACTGTTCAGTTTGATATCTAGAAGTAGTGTTTCCTACGTTCCGGTAAAACATGCGTGGGAAATAGCTCAACGTCGATGTAACAACGTCGCTAAAAATATTCCACAGCTGCACACAATATGAGCAAGTCAAACGCACACTCTTTTGTCTATTGATTTGAGTAAACACCTCAAAATCTCCTCATGTAGTGTCGCATTATTGACCCTTCGCTCAATTTTCAACTTCTGTTTAAATTTTACACTGCCATACTCGAACGAAATAATCAACCGTCTTCAGAATCAGTCCGCATCGTGCTCTCTTGCCGTGCGGATCTATTTGCTTTTTGCTTAAGGAAGTGTTACTACTACCTAAAGCTACAACAAATTTAAACAGCACTTTTCAGTGCTCAACCTGTAAAATTTCTACCTTGTTCAACTCTTATTCCTCTTCGATCCTTGTTTGGACCCTACCCGAGGTAATCCTTCTTGGATATCGATTTGGAAAATTCCTCTTCGATCCTTCAGATTCTTATAGTAATCTGCTTGGAAGTCGATTTGGATAATCGCATAATCGCACTTTTCAGTGCTCAACCTGTAAAAATTTTCTACTTTGTTCAACTCCTCTTATTCCTCTTCGATCCTTGTTTGGACCCTACCCGAGGTAATCCTTCTTGGATATCGATTTGGAAAATTCCTCTTCGATCCTTCAGATTCTTATAGTAATCTGCTTGGAAGTCGATTTGGATAAAAAATTTACTGCCGCCATGGCGCCTAAACGCAAAAGAAAGGGGCAAACTCTTGACCCCCCTTCTGAAGAAATTAATTTGAGTAATCAATTTGATTTGCTCACGGATGATGAGAATGATCCATCATCCAAGAAAAATTCTAGTAAACTTTCCCGGCTTAATGCCAAGAAGGAAAAGATTCCCCCTATTGTGATAACCCCTACCGATTTCCATGCTCTTCGCATGGAACTTTTGAATTTCGTGAAAGTTAAGTTTTCACTACAAATTGGACGTCGGGGTGAATGCCGTGTATTGGCTGAAACCTTGGACGGATTTAAATGTCTTCTCAAGTATCTTACTGAGAAGAAGCACAAATTTTTTACTTACGACACCAAAACTGAACGTGTGTTCAAGGTTGTCATGAAAGGACTGCCCAGTGGTGAATCCCTGGATCAGATCAAAGATGAACTGGCAAAATTACTTGGAGTTGTGCCACTCCAAGTAATCAAAATGAAAATGAAATCCCGTCCTGGCGATTCGCGCAACGGGATTTCTAATGATTTTTATTTAGTTCACTTCAAGTCTAGTGAACTAAACAACCTTAAGGCCTTAGAAAAAGCTAGCCTTATGCTCCATGTCCGAGTGAAGTGGGAACACTTCAGGAAGACTGGAGGAAATTTCCAAAACCTCACTCAGTGCAGTGGTGATTCCTCTCACGCAAAGGACGACTGTCCTGTGAAGGAAGATCCTAAGAAATTTAAATGTTCAAATTGTGGTGAAAACCACAAATCCAATTTTTGGGAATGTAAGACTCGCAAAGCGATCCTACAATCTCGTTCTAACCGACAGGTAGGAAACGCTCCACGTTTCCGACCAGGTACAAATTCCTCTGCTGTTAACAACGGTCAGCGAGGAACAAATTCTACATTCGTACCCGTAGGTACAAATATCACCCCTGCTTCAAATGTTTCATCTGTACCTACTCCCCTCGCTGCTAACAATGTTCAGCGAGTTAATGGAGCTACCTATGCTGCTATTGCAGCGGGTAGAAATCAAAATACTAACCAACGTTCTAACGGAAATTTTGACAATTTTGACTTAGGAAGCATTACTGCCCCTAAAATGGAATTTTTACAGAATTCATTAATTGACATGATTTCTGATATGCTTAAATCTAACTCCATGTTTGATGCTATTCAAACTGGAGTAAAATTTGCTAATAATATTGTCATGACTTTAAAATTCAGTAATGGATTTTAAAGCATTAAACATTTTAAATTGGAATGCTCGATCGCTTAAAAATAATGAAGACGAGCTATTTAATTTTTTGAGAGTTCATAACGTGCATATTGCCGTTATAACTGAAACGTTCCTTAAACCTGACCATAAGGTTAAGAAGGACGCAAATTACTTGATTTATAGAAATGATCGTCTTGATGGACCCGGTGGTGGCGTTGCCATCATTATTCATAGACGAATCAAGCATAAAATTCTTTCTTCATTTGAAACCAAAGTTTTTGAAACTTTGGGAGTTTCTGTTGAAACAAAATTTGGACAACTTACGTTTATAGCTGCCTATTTGCCATTCCAATGCGTAGGCCAGCAAAAGAATTTTCTCAAGGGTGACCTCCAGAAACTTACCCGTCATAGGTCTAAATTCTTCATTATTGGTGATTTTAATGCAAAACACCGCTCATGGAATAATGCTCAAAGCAATTCCAATGGTAATATTCTGTTTGATGATTGTTCTGCAGGTTATTACACTATTCAATATCCAAACAGCCCAACATGCTTTTCTTCTGCAAGAAATCCCTCAACTATTGATTTGGTCTTAACTGATTCATGTCAACTTTGTAGCCAATTGGTTACCCATGCTGACTTCGGTTCTGATCACCTTCCAGTAACTTTTGAAATATCTCAAGAAATAATTTCTAATCCCAACAGCTCTACTTTCAATTACCATAGGGCTGATTGGGAGCAATATCGAACATTTATGGAATATAACTTCGATCCAAATATTCCTTTGCAAACCAAAGATGAAATTAATTATGCTCTTGAATCTCTGACTACTTCTATAGTTGAAGCAAGAGCTGCCTCAGTACCAAAATGCGAGGTTAAATTCGATTCAATTATAATAGACGATGATCTTCAGCTCTTGATCCGTCTTAAAAATGTCCGTAGGAGACAATTTCAAAGAACACGCGATCCTGCCATGAAAGTTATCTGGCGGGATTTGCAAAAACAAATTAAAAAGCGATTCTCTGCCCTGAGGAACAAAACTTTTGAAAATAATGTTTCTAAATTAGACCCGAGTTCCAAACCCTTTTGGAAACTCACAAAAATTTTGAAAAAACCTCAAAAGCCAATTCCAGCGCTTAAAGAAGGTGGTAAAATTTTGATTACAAATTTGGAAAAAGCTCAGAAACTTGCTAAGCAATTCGAGAGTTCCCATAATTTCAGTTTGGGTCTTACTAGTCCTATTGAGAATCAGGTTGCTCGGGATTTTCGGAATATTTTCTCTCGGGAAAATATTTTTGATGATTCCTGGGGGACTGATTTGGACGAAGTAAGGTCTATAACTAAAAAATTTCAAAATATGAAAGCTCCAGGTGATGATGGAATTTTCTATATCCTCATCAAAAAACTCCCAGAGAGTACCTTGTCTTTCCTGGTAAAATTATTTAACAGATGTTTCCATTTGGCATACTTTCCTGATAAATGGAAAAATGCAAAAGTTGTTCCAATTTTGAAGCCGGATAAAAATCCAGCTGAAGCTTCTAGCTACCGTCCAATAAGTTTGCTTTCTTCAATAAGTAAACTTTTTGAAAAGATAATTTTGAATAGAATGATGCTTCACATCAATACGAACTCAATTTTTGCAGATGAGCAGTTTGGATTTCGCCATGGGCATTCAACTACTCATCAACTCTTGAGAGTTACCAATTTAATTCGTTCAAACAAATCTGAAGGCCACTCAACTGGAGTTGCTCTTCTAGACATAGAAAAAGCATTCGACAGTGTTTGGCATGAAGGTTTGATTGCTAAATTGAAAAAGTTTAATTTTCCACTTTACATTATGAAATTAGTTCAAAATTATTTAACTGACAGAACTCTGCAGGTAAATTATCAAAATTCCAAATCTAATCGACTACCTGTTAGAGCAGGAGTTCCTCAGGGTAGCATTCTTGGGCCTATATTGTATAACATTTTCACTTCGGACCTCCCTGATTTGCCTCAGGGTTGCCACAAATCTTTGTTCGCTGATGACACAGGCATTTCCGCTAAAGGAAGAAGTCTTCGTGTTATTTGCAGCAGACTTCAGAAAAGTTTAGATATTTTCTCTTCTTATTTACAAAAATGGAAGATTTCTCCCAACGCTTCCAAAACTCAACTTATAATATTTCCACATAAGCCCAGGGCTTCCTTTTTGAAACCTAGTAGTAGTCACATAGTCACTATGAACGGAGTTCCAATTTCCTGGTCAAACCAAGTGAAATATCTTGGATTAATACTTGACCATAAATTAACTTTTAAAGATCACATTGAGGGCATTCAAGCCAAATGTAACAAATATATAAAATGTTTGTATCCTCTTATAAACAGGAAATCCAAACTTTGCCTGACGAATAAACTTCTAATATTTAAACAAGTTTTTAGACCGGCCATGCTTTACGCTGTGCCAATATGGTCTAGTTGTTGCACTACCAGGAAAAAAGCACTTCAAAGGATTCAGA